AGCATTGGAACCGTCGCAGCTGCGCTGGCAGCTACTCCGTATGGAGGTCTTGCTCGAAAGACTGTTGCGACTGCAACCAGTGCAGAAACAGCCGGGGAGCACGTAATAGATTAACTATCAATTTAAATACGTTTGTTGGAGTGTGACATTGTTAAAAGCACCACGGCCGGGAGCATAATTTGCATGTATCGCTGCAGCTCTTCTGGGTATGTTGCAGCACACAGGACTGGTGTTTTTCAGGGTTTAGGGCTTAGGGTTTCTTAGATTCGGTCTTCTGCGGCCAAGCCAGCTCGGGACACGAGGAATTGCCACATTGATCCCTATACGGTGCTCATTATGTCATTAATCATGACAGCGTAATCTCCGGGTGCACTTATTAGTCTTGCGGCGTAAGCTTCAGGTACTTTTGTTAGCCCTTGTGAATGAGGAGCCGCATCCAACAGAAGGACATAGCAACTTGAGTAGTTACAAGTGAGCCGTTTTTGCTCGTCTTAGCCATTAACCTTTTGGATTATATAACTCCGCTACAATTGACAGGGTTAACCTTTTGGGCTAGGATACTCAGTCCCTCAGATCAGACCTAAATCATGCGTCGGACTCTAAAGCTCGACTTCCAGAGACGGCTGCGCTGTTTTTGTCGATGCCGTGGATCCTTATGAGCCAGTTTTCGGCTTCGCTACAGGGCTTAGGGTTAGGGTTTGGTTTCTACGGCTTCGACTGCCCGATACTTCGTTGCGTCGCAGACGACTCCTGTAACTCGCGACGAGGTCTACACTGTCTATACTGTCTATAGTCTATAGTGCTGCTTGACCATGCACTGTGTGCTCAGATGCTGTTGCCTAATGTTGTGGAAGACGAACGGAGTCCACCTGAGAGAAACTCCGGCAGGATGTCATATACACAACCTACAGAGAGCAATGCTTTCCGGCAGTGTATTGATACAGGTTGGTATCAAAGACAGCCGCTCTTCTCAAGCAATGACTTCTCCCGGAATCGCGCCAATTTCATGTCAAGCCCAAAGTGGCCCTATCATTGGCGCCCCTCGTCCACGGACGACGTTCGAATACAACAAGCTCATCAGCACCTGCAGGTGGCAACAGGATTGGCAACGTGCTTTGCTTCTGGTGACCGACATCACGCGCGAGTCGCTGCAGCCAACGATCGTTACGTTCCTTGGAAAGTAATGGTCCCAGTTTTGCTATTTTATTATGTTGCTATACTCTGGACTCCATGCCTGCAAGGGTCCTTGTACCTGAACAGTACCTTTACTATATACAATTTAATGTTATATAAGTAATCCCTTCCCCCTAATATTAAACGCCTCCCCCCCCTAGTATAAAAGCTGGATTTCTGAGGTTTAGTTTTTATATTAGGCGGGTTTCGGTTCGGTGCATCCACGTACAGTCAGACAAGTCAACAGCGAGCAATTCCTGCGCAGCCGTTCCGGCTGTAGACAGACCAGACACAGTCAGCCTGCCTCGTTTGGGCAGTCCCTAAACCCTTAAACCCTAAAGCTTTGGTGTCTTTAGTACTGCTGTAGTCTTTGGCTCTATAAAGCCCTGAGCCCTAAACCCTAAAGCTCTGCTGTCTTTAGTACTACGGTAGTCTTCCTTCAATTAAAACACATACAGATCTGCCACCCCCCCTAATCTTGTCCCTTTTATATTGAATGCGGGGCCTGAAACCGCAAAATTCCGGGGGCCGGGAGTTTTTATATTAGGGGGGAGTTGAGTGTTAGGGGGAAGGGATTACATGGACACTTGTTGGGCTCCTGGATCAGGTGCGACCGCTACACCCTAAGCCTACAACTTCCGAACGCTCACCCCTTAACCCTAATCCATTCAACCCTAAAACCTAAGCACTAGACCCTAAACCCTTCCTGGACCCTACGGAACCTACCTTTTTTAGGGCCCCCATAATATGATTTCTTTATATAAGTCCCAAAAAAGGTAATTAGGTCACGTGGGGTTAAGGTTATAGTATCGGAAGTGAAAGAAACCCTAAACCCTGAGCCCCTAAACTGTCAGGTCCCGGATGCCTGCGGTCGACTGTCTTTACTGTCTGTATTGAGCTCGGTAGTGCTTTTCCAGACCTAATCACCCTGCTATGCGGGCTCGTCCTAGCGAAGTAGGAGGCAAAAAACATCCAAAAACCCTGCCCTAAACCCTAAATCCTAAACCCTAAACCCTAAACCCTGCTCCCTCAGGTTCGGAGCAGCCATTAGCGTATGCGAAAAGGCTGCGAGATGGGATTGGGCTTTACACTTGCTGGACAAGCCTCCCGGTTTAGGAAAGTTTAGGGTTCAGAGTTTAGGGCTTACGGGGTCAGGCTCGGCAGGGCTTATAGACCTTATCGGGTCCATAGGGTGAGGCTTAGGGGGGAGACGTTATTGTTTAGGGTTTTGCGGTTCCACCCGCGTTCTGCAGTAGCGCCCCCTGCGCCCCTTCATTTGGTATCTCCTGCCTAGCAGGAACAAGGGTACCCTTAACATCAACATAATAGCAAGAACAATCATCAACATCACAGCTGTAATCGTCATTATAGTGACAACCTCGACCCTCCAGCTACACTCTGTCGTAGCCTCAGCACTCACCATTAAAAGCTCCAAGACTTTGATTAAAGTGTACTCCGGAGGTTCTGGAATAACAATACGAAACCAAGAAGGGCTTCCTGGGAAACCCAGGCTTGAAACCCATCAGCTCTTGCCGAACGTCATCACCTGCAATTCTGCAATCAGCTCTTGCGAGAAAGCACGCAGCTGGAGGCAAGCTCTGCTCATCCTTCAGACGATGCATGGGAAGCTTGCCTCCTTTTGAGAAACTGTAACGGAAGCTTAAGAAGCTTAAGTTCAGTCGCCCGAAGACGAATCGAGCTTGCAGGAAAGATACTCATTTTGTCTTTGTATAACCCTAAACCCTGTTTATTTTTCAATAACCCAGGAAGCGTGTATCGGAGGATCTAATCTCGTATAGCTCGGCTGTCAGCGCCTGTGAGAAATCCTCGCAGTGGCCCCATGCGCTCCAGCTGCTGGCAGACTGTTTCACAGACTCCTTAGAGCTTGATTCTTGGGCGGTCCGTTGGAATCTGATTTGCGTGTTCGGGCATTGGCCATAACTGTTGTATCAACCTGGATCAGGTTTGTGCTTGGGTGAAAGGGGCCTATCTATTCTGGGTTGCAAGGCATGGTGGCATTACGTTTTGGGGCTTAGGTTCTGCATAAACTCCCAGCGGTAGCCATGCACTACAGCGGTCGGAACACGGAGCAGTAATATCCACTTGTTGTTCTTGTACAACACTATAACTACAGTACATTTGTTTTGCCCCAAAACCCTGTGTAATTTGTGAAGCCTCTGAGCCTTTCAGGGAGAGGTGTAGGAGGCAGAGAATCGAAAACGTTAGTCAAAGCCAGTTAAATCTTGAAGCACGCTATCCGGACAGTATCAAGTTCCTCAAAATTTCTCGAGGGCTCCAGGTATATACATAAAATAGTTTGTAGGTTTTCAACCGTACCTCACGTAACCCAATAACTAATCCATTATTTAGCTAACTGGGGCCTAAGGCTACATATCCTCGCTACATCTCGAACAGTACTTTGTTTTGTTTCGGTTAGGATCTGATCACGGTCAATGCCGCCCTCAGCGCCTGCGAAAAGGCAGCTGAGTGGCAGCGCGCTCCTCGAAGACGTGTTACCTACAGTCACTGTTAGGCATGAGGTATGATGACAATCATGTCGATGACGGATGAGGATGAGGATGGTGAGCATGAGGATGGATTAGTGGCATCATCCTTTTGGGCTTGTCACATAGGAAACCTCGGACCTGCTTCCACTTTCCGACAGGAGGGATGCGGGCCTGTGGCCTGATGTTGTCTTTCTGGCCGGGCCCGCTTGCTGTCTACCCAAAATCCTAAGACCTCGCTGTGCCCCTGCAACCCACCACTTCGGTTGTCAGGTTGACAATAACGACCTTTCAAAAGACTTGCCTACTCTATGCGGACCCTATATACCCTAAACTCGAGACAGCCCCCGTACAACAAGAAGGTGTTCAAGAGACAGAAAATATTGTTCGGAGAACTCTGAAGTCCTAAAGCCCTTTTGCAAGTAAGCCCTAAGCCTGTGAACCCCTACACCCTGATAAGCTCCTGAAACTGCGAGGTTCTGGCGCTCATGGGGGAGCTGGAAGATTTGATGCTTCAGGCACCCGGCGCTTAGGGTGTTTTCAAGTTGAGGACGAGAGACGTGATCTTGAGTACAGGAGGCACAACATACCGAAAATCCTAGTTCTCATCATGAAGGCCCCTATATCATACCTTCAGGGTGGGTAGCCCTTGTAGAAATGTCCGTAGATGCATGCATGCATACATACATACGCACATACATGCATGCATGCATGCATACATGCATACACACACACACACATACATGAACACATGAATGCTGACCCATGACCCCGGCCTGGTGCTAAGTAGGCTGACCTCATTACCTACAACGTCGCCATCAGCGCCTGTGAGAAAGCCGGCGAGTGGGAATCGGCTTTGTCCCTGCTCAGTAAGCTGGGGGATGCCTCTCTGATCCGGGATGTGGTGACGTACGGAGCATCCATCAGCGCTTGTGAAAAGGCCAGCAGGTGCGGCAGTTCTTGAAAGTAAGGGCCATGGTGGGTCCTTATATCAGAACCTTGCTGTTTTATAGGGCTCCATATTGGGATATACTGGGGGCTTCACATTCAGAACCCTAAACCCCAAGCTGCTAGTTGGTTATCGGCGTGCTTTGGCTCCTGAAGTGCCCAGGTGGCCCCAAGCTTTGCTGCTTCTGGGCGAGGCTGAGGTAACCTCGCAAGTGAACGTTATCATTCTGAGTGCCGCCATCAGTGCCTGTGAGAAGGCCCTACAACTGCTTCCAGTCCTCCTATTTCAGGGGTCAAACTCCAGAACCTGATATGGGGGTTTCCGAAAATTAGGGGGCCCTGATATAGTACCCTAAATAGTAGGATCCTTATTACAAGGGCCCCAAATAAGGTACCCCCAATTTTCGGAAACTCCCATATGTTGCAAGGTTTGGGGGTACGGGGTAAGCTCCAAAGCCCGATGCCTCTGAAGCCCAAAACCCTAAACTTAGGGGTACTTAGAAACATTTTTTCATTTTTTGGTTATTATAATCACCAAGAAACAGTTAAAACTACAATTTTTGCTAGGGTTCTAAGTTCAGTATAGTAGACCCATTGCCATCACAAGCCCTAGGGAAGCCAGTGGCGCTTGGCCTTGGATTTGTTGGGCCAAGCCGGTCTTCGACGCCTTCGGGCAGACACCATCATGTACCTTAGTAGAATAGATAAATATCAGTAGCCTTTGATCTTTCAGGCTTCTACAGCTACTATAACATCTGTAATATGCGCTCAAAGTTTAACCTTAAAACTTAAGGTTGAAATGTTGGGCACTTTACAAGACATAATGCCTGTAATCAAAGCCCAAACATCAGCCGTTACTTTTGTACATACCATCATGCTGAATCATGCCTTTATGTTGACTTTTAATTTCCTTCGAAGATGGAGAAGCAACTCAACCTACAGTTTAGGGTTTCAGGGTTCTAAACGTTTAGGGCTTCAGGGGTTTAGGGTCTTAAAATTTTAGGGCTTTCAGGGGGTTTTGGGTTTTAAAGGGAAAACAGTAACAGTGGGTTTAAAGGTACAGTTTAGAAGCTGCCCCCACCCTGTAATAGTGGTATAATAGGAATATAGTAGGGCCCTAATATAATCCTATATAATCCTTATAGTCACTATTACAGGGTGGGGGCAGCTTCCAAGGTACAGTTCCGCCGTCAGCGCCTGCGGGCGCTCCTTCGAGTGGCAGCATGCTTTGAGGCTCCTCCAGGAAGTCGAGACGGAGCCTAGGCTCAGGGCTCCTTAAAGGGAACTCCAGAAAGTTGGAATATGGTTTCAGTGTAGGATACGCTGTAATTTACCATAAAGGGTTTAGGATAATCATATTCCAACTTTCTGGCTTTTACTGTAAAGGGATGTATAGGGTTTAGGGTTAGGGCTCCTTAAAGGGTTCTATGAGGGATCTAGAGGGCTCTATAACTAGGCTGCTGAGTAGTACCCCTTTGCTTTTTTGTTGTTTTTGGGTTCCCTGGCTTGAACCGCAGAGTAGGAAAAAGTGTAATTACTCGTACGCCAATGATCAAGAGACTACTGAGTAGCCTAGGAGCAGTTTGCTCCAGAGATCATCGTTTACAACTCGGCCATCACTGCATGTGAGAAGAGCGAAAAGTGGCAAGTTGCTCTTCAGCTTATGAGCAAACTGGCGGAGAATGGGCTGCAAGCTGACATAATAACGTACAGCTCCGTAGTAAGTGCTTGCGACAAAGCCGGCCGCTGGGAGCTTGCGATGTGGTTCTTGAGTTCGGGTCGCATCCGACATCTTCAGCCAAATGCATTTACTTACAGTGCTGCCATCAGTGCATGTGCAAAGCAGGCAAAGTGGACAGTGGCTCTGGCATTGTGCCAAGAATCCCAAGACAACCAGCTGCCCCCCAGCGAGATCATTTGGGGTTCTGTGATATCCAGCCTTGAGAAAGGTGGTAAGTGGCAACATGCCCTTCTCTTCTTGGAGGAAGGAAACAGATGCGCGTTGTCATTGGATGCGGTCGCTTACTCTTCAGCCATCCGGGCCTGTGCTGGGGCGCAGCGGTGGCAGCAAGCTGTCGAACTCATCCTGGAGGTGGAGTTCAGAGATCCAAAGTCAATGGCCGTGCCGTTGCCTGGATAGCATTAACTTGGGGACCCTCAACTTCAAGTTTGCAATAATTGGACTAGGCTTGCAGGGGGCTTCCCGTGAACACTGTTTATAAGTATTCCGACTCCTGCAGAAGTCTCGCTGGGTTATCTCCCAAGGCCTTGATGCCTAAGTCCTCAAGGCCACATCCCTCCAGCAAACGCAGGCTAAGCTGCGCCATTGCTGCCTGTCAGAATTCATTGGCATCGCAGGCAGGCCTGCAGCGCCTTAGCCGCAGTCCAATCTATGTCTAGTCTCCAGCTGTCTCAATGTAGGTGCATATAATGTGATAGCTGCTCCAGTGAACATGCAACCTAGGACCTAGGACCGCTACCTTCATGAGGAGCTTTAGATGTGTGGTGCTTGCGGAAACTGAGCTTTTCGTCAAGATTCAAGCTTGGAGAGAGTCATATAGTCATGACGAGCGTGTGCGCGACTAGGGACGACTACAGG